CACACAGATTCTCTGGTTTTACAGTTCCTCTGCACTGATCCAAGGACACATTTTCCAGCAAGTCAGTCACCCAGTGCTAAGGGACTCAGGCAATGTGCCTGTGGTACCCATTAAAATTCAAATGATGCTTTGGAACATGGGCAAGAACACAACAAAGCTGCAAATATGAAATAAGCAACAAGTCCTCCACCTAAATATCCTCCCACTGTACAAGCCAAGAGAGGTTTGCAAAAGTATTTTCTTCAACTTAATAGTAAAAACAAACTTAGAAAACCCCAAAACAAGTCTACTTCAATTCAAGCAATATTACACTATTCCTTTATGTCTGTAATATGTAAAAGAAAATACATCAATACAAAGTCACTGGTTACTAATCCTCAGTCACTGCTCAATTTAAACTTACAAAGATATGTCATATCTGGTCATATATGATCTCCTGTTCATCATTTGATAGAAAACAAAAGCCCCCAATAGTTCATATCATTAATACTGAAATTTTAGATGAGCTATCATTTAATGCCAATTAAGTTTATTACAAAAATAAGATACATTTAGGCTTTTGCAAAAGAACCTGCATGTGTACATATCTATACATACAAGGTTTTTACAAAACACATATAAATTAAATAGTTAAATATTGGTTTAAATCACTAGTGGAGACTATCAACATAACTGAGATTTTCATTTGCAACTCTTCCAGAGTCACCATTATTAACATGCTGCTTTTTTTCTTATTTAACTTCAAAGTAATTCTACAAATGAAATCATTAATAGCCATTTTTAGCTTGTCAAATTCCATCCCTCAGATGCTTTTAAGTACATAACTGCCTCTACATGAGACATTACAAGTATGAGTATGTTTGAGGAGGTATGTGAGAAAGTCAAAACATGTCACTATTGTGGTTATTTGAATAATCAGCTCAGTTACACTGCATAGATATTTGCCCCTGCCCATTCCCAATATAGAAATAAACTACTCCAGAATCCTGTGTAAGATTATGAAGAATACAAAATAAGATTTAATGGAATAATTCATAGAAAATGGATCGTGTGGGGATATTTGTCCTTGCCTTCCCTGAGCACAGGTCAAGTCTCATGTGTCTGATGCTGCCCTGCTCAAACACAAGGTTCTGCTGTGGGTGAGCACACCACATTTCCTCCCTGGCAGAACCCTTACTGTGGGGAAATGGATGTGCATCCTCACACACAAAGGTTGCACACCAGTAGGGTGAGCTGCAATAAAATAAATGAGTGTACTGTATTATTGTAGGCTCAAATTTCAGCTGAAGTTCCAGTTCTACAGTTCTTTTTACATGCCTAGGAGGTTCTGTAAGAGGAAAAGAAATGAGTCAGAACAGAGAGATAAGACTGAAAGAAATATCACTGCACACAGCTGGGTTACCAGATGGAGCAGGGAGATGACCAACCTTGCCCTTTGAAGAGTGTCAGTCTGCACTTCATAGGCACTGGCAAATCCTCAGAGATCACAAGTCACAACTACCTCAGAAAGAACAGAAAACTCTCTAGAAATATCCCGTTCCATGACTAATTTACAATAGTTGAGGTAGCACTTACTCTCAAAGCCCCAGTGCCAAATCTACCACTGGCACAAACAGCAAGTTCAGCAAGTTCTGCACAGTTGCCTTGAAACACTTGCTTAGAGAAGAATACACAAAATATGAATAACCCGAGTCCCCATTTAAAAGGAGGCCATAACCTGGGCAACAGCTATGAGAAAAATGACAGAGGACCTCATACAAGTTTAAAGACAATTCCGGTCTAACATCCCTCAGGTGCTGTGCAAGAGCAGGCTGACCAGTTAGAAGCACATAAAAGCCCAACACTAATGTGTCAGAGCAGAGAGTAAAGCTTCACTCATGGTAGTCCAAAGTGCTTCATAATGCTCTCTGTAGGAAGATGAAACTTGGTTTCAGTGCAGTGCTTGTGCCTTTTGCCTCATTTCAACATGGACTTTGGATTTCATATGAAGAATTTTGGACTCTGATGCACCGCTGATAGTCTGTTAGCACTGAAATTATCTTGCCATCTCTACTGATCAGCTGTAATGACATGAAGCTGGGATTTACTTCACTGAAATCTTGCATGTATTGTCCAAGTTTTGTGAGTAATGTTTTCTGCCCCTTAATCAAAGGAGCTTTTTCTGATAGAAACCACAGCAACTGTTTGCCTATGTATGTATAAAAAAAGGAGTCAGGCACTAACACAAGCAGCACAGGCACAGCCAAAGGCTACTAAGATTGTCTACACTATGAGAAAACGATGAAACAAAAGATCAGGAAATTTAGCAAATTGTATTTACTACTAAATGAATCTTTTTGAACAAGGGAAACAACACAGAGTTTGTGCAAGTATAAGATCTTGTGCTTTGAAATATTAAACCAGGAAAGTATAGCAAAGGCAGGGAAATACCTTTTTTCCTCTTGGCATGAAAAGTTCTCATAACAGCAAAGGCATTTATGTCTGAAATGTTTCTGATGTATAAACAACTCAACTTGATCACTATTTATATATGAACATTGTGTGCACATTATGTGCAAAGTTACGGAGGGAAATAGTTAAAACTTCAATACAGCAGTTTCTCTCTGAGGGCTAGCTGAAAGCTAGATGTGTACTAAAAACTGTGACATTAGGTAGTTTACAGATTCACTGGCACAGCATAAAGGTGGTGAAAAACCCAAAATGCATGTTGTAATTTGAGAAGTAAACAGATCCTGTTCTTTGATATACTAAATCAGTTTTCCTGATGTTTCTCCAATAGAAAATCTGTTAACAGTTAAGCAGTTATTTTGAGATCAGTACTGCTTATATGTTTTACAGACATGAATAAATTCAGCACTTAGATTCATATGTTATCAGTGAGGTAATTCCTTTTCCAAAAGTCTTGTAGCCAAGTGACTTTGTTTGCCTACAAGTCCTGCAGGAAGCACAGGTCCTACATGTTAAAAGAACTTACACCCTCATTGCAATAAAGCCTCATGATGGGCAAAGAAAGGATTCTACCACGTCATTTATATGTACTGGATGAAAAGTGTTCCTATGATCCAAGTCTAGTTGGTTGAACTCTGCAAAGCTGCATTGAGTAGTTGAGATGTGATTTACCATTTACAATGGACATTAACACAGGTAAAGTAACAGGCAGCACTTCTGAAGATTCCACAATCCAAAACTAGCAAACTGCTCAAGGGATGTTGTAACCCTCACACTACTCCTGTCTTATTTTAGGGTTAACACCGTGGTCAGCAGAAACACACAGCAACTAATGAAACATACTCTATGCTTCAGTGGAAAAAAGATGTTCCAAAGAGCACTGGAAAAGATATAATCAGCATGCTCTGTTCCTTGGTCTACTCAGAGATGAGTAACATTAAGAAGAGAGAACCACAAAGCCCTGGATGTGTGTGCTTGACAAATGTGTGTACTCAACAACCCTGGGGAATAGTTATTTGCTTAGAGCCTTTCACTCAAATTAAAATGGCTCCTCAGAACAATAACATTTCCTTACACAGAAGTAACTTCATGCAGAAACCATATGACGGAAAAAAATTAATGATTGACACTTTGAATTTAGATGGAAGTAGCTGAACATTACATTACACTGCTTAATCTTTCTTGAGCATTTCTGTATAGCAGGCAACCTACATGAGTTTCTTCAAGTTTCCAAACGATCACAAATGCTGTATTTCATTTATATTTCAGTGAACAGAAGACTAACAATTGTCACATGAAAACATCCAAAATAGATGGCATAAGGTAAAATAGTTTAAATTAAGATAAGAAATAACTATATGCCAGAATTTAAATGTATAACTTCATCTGAAATACAGAGTATTGTGCAGTTTTAAAAGACATTTTGCTTTTAAGCAGAGGGTGAGATGAGTAAATACTCATGAAATGAATAGGAAGTGACACAGAAACAAAGAGAACAGTTTAGAGGATTCCCAAGTAGGCAACAGGCAGTGGCCACTGGCAATCCTATAGGGCTGCAGGGAGCATGAGCAGCAGGAGTTGCAGTGCAGCAGTTGGGCAGAGTTATGAAGTTTCAATATCCTGTAGGAAACGTAGTGGGTAAGACTCCCAAATAATGTAAAATTCAATCTAGATGTCAGGGAAAAAAGGAAAATAGGATTAAAAGGCAAATGTGCACATTTCACAGGTTCAGACAGCTGGAAGATGCAGCCTTGTCCTGTGTTTTACTGTGTGTTTCAGTCTGAAGGAAAAAAAACTGGTTCTAGGAGTAATATGTGCAAGTGAAACCCAAACCTGAAAGAAACTTTGAGTTTAGATAAATAAGACTCCTGTTTTGATTTCAGGCAGGTCTATATAAACTTACTCACTGTCCTATGAAAACTTAGCAAAGTACTTGGCATTGCTTAAAAGCCAAAGGAGAAGCAATAAACATTCTCCATGCCATAAGATATTTTTTAAATTCTGGTTTTTTAGACAAACATATTTTTAACTGCCTCATTCCTAATAAAAACTTACACCCTTTCTTAAGAATATCATCTCTATACAAGAGCAAGTTTTAGACAATGTTCAGTGTTAATCTGACACTTAACAACTTAATCAGCATTGTCTAGTTTACACTGAGCTCTGATCTCTCATCCAGGTCACTCTGAACTTTCAGGGAGAAGACTCCTAGTTTCCTTCTGCTTTGGTCAGACTCAACCTTCTAATCTCTTCTCCCAACTGAAGAAGATAAAAGGGAACATTATTAACATGTCTATTCTTCCCTAAGAAATATTCACTGGACTGCTTAAAGATAATTTTAAATTTTTTTTAAGTTCTCATGTGTTACAAAAATATATATTTGGTCAAATGCTTCAGACATGACTCATATATAGAGATCAGATGCATAAAATAAGAACATTGTTAGAACTATCTGCACTGCTATATGTACAGTGAATTTTAAGTTTTTATTTAAGAAAGCCAGAACTGAGCATAGCAGACTCAAAACTCACATATTTTCCTTGTTTAGGAGAATGAGTCCAAATACTTGCTGGCTTTGCAAGAAATTCAGAGCAGAAGAAAGCTCAGAAAAAAGCAGGATCAGTTCTAAGTAAGTCAAGAGAAGAGTTATGTTCTGCAGCACATGCAGAGATACAAAAACCTCAAAATTCACAGTGGAAGTTTTCTTTGTGAGTTTAAGAACATGCAAAAGAGTGCAACATCTTCCCAACTGCCCCAGCTGACCACCTTCCTATAGCCAGTTCCTTTACAGTACAAGAAGCATGAGCTGTCATTTCTCTAGTGGAAGGGGGACACATCCCAGTGGGAAATCCTTTTATATTACATAGGCACAGACCTAAACTCACCCCTGGATTAAGTCGAGATTTGGGCCTGTGAAGAAGATCTAAGGCAGGTATTTTGAGTCAATCTTTTGAAAGGATTCAGGCTGTTGGCAAAGCTTGAATACACATGTGACGCAGAAGAGACACAGCCAAGTGCCTCCTGCAAGTCCTCAGCTGCCACCAGGCTCTGTGGAGGCCAACCACTGCTGGAAATTTGGGTGGTGAGATGCTCCCACCCAACACACCTTCCAACTGGTGTCTGATCAGACATTGTATCAGTTCACTGATTAGAAGAAAACACATCCTCCACAGGAGTACTGAGGTGCATCTGATGGCTCCTGAAACTGTCTTTTGGGTCAAGTTGGGTGGCAAAAATACAGACAGCGCTTCCCAAGTCTGGACCACAGTGTCAGGGGAGCCGTTCACACTGTATAATAAGTGGATGACAGCTCCCACAAGACACTACGGTTTAAATTTTGGAGTTCTAGCTATAAAGCTTTAGTTATTTTTGTAGAAAACTAGATTTTTTTTTTTTTAGTGTAATACTTAGTCTTCAGCAAATTAAATCACGCTGCAAATCAGTGCAGCAAGACTCTTACTATCAGCACAACAGCTATTAAAGCTGCACTATAAGACAGATCATAATAAATTGTGTTCATATTCCCTTACTGTCTTTCCCATTTTCCCAATTTTTAAAAGAAAGTAAAGAAGGCAAAAAGCTTTTCCTCTGTGTCAGCTGGTCCGTCGGGCAGTGTTCTTTCTGCTTCACAGATTAATGGTAAAGACAAATAATCAGAAATGGAAATAAGACAGCTCTACTGACGATGCTCAGTGAGACAGACCTGATTGTCACTTGTTCTATATACAAGTGCCATTGCTAACAGAGGTGAAAAATCATCTGCGTCAGTAACAGTGAATATGACTCAGAAATATCTCTTAGAGAGAAAAAAAGAAATCATTCAAAGGATTCTCACTCCCCACAACAACATGCTTCATGAGTTAATGCAGAGAGAAGGATAATAGCTCATGAGAAGGAAAAAGTAACTATTTTACTGGCCAGAGTTGCTAGAGAACTATTAACACCACAATTCAGCAGTGGTAACATTTCTCTTATTGTGTATTTCTTTGAGGGGGTCAGAATGATCTGGAAAGCCTGACAAAAATCAGTGAGTCGCAGCACGTACTTTTTCAGAGAAAAATAATTATATCAAATTAAAAATAAATGAGGCATCACCAATTAAGAAAAGGTACAACTAATGGCTGTTCTGCAGCAGAAGTCCACAAAGCATTATGCAGCACTTGTAGCAAATTTTGATTTTAATTTAGATTTTTTAAAAGCACTGTGTCAAAAAAAGCTGTTGTGAGAACTGCAGCTCACATGAAAACTAAATACTCAGTGAGAATGGATGTTCCTCCAGGTTTAGCTGACACATAATGGAAAGCACCCACTGGAATATATCTCTTGTGCTTTCTTCTATTAATATAAGCATAAAAATTTTTTCCAAGTTACCAGCATTGATGACCTAAAACTGCAGTGCTTAGGAATCAGTAGGTGAAAATGGAGCTACACGCACTCAAATGGAGCTACTTCCCTCAAACATTTGTTTTTGCTTAAATTGTTTAGTCTCTCACCTCACTATTTCTATGTTATTTCCCAGAATCAGGCAGGAGACTCCTACAAGCTTATGAACTTATTGCTTAAGAATAGCAAACATGAAAGTAAAATCTGATTTTAGTCACCTCCAAGATCTGTCTAGGTTAGTAATAATGTGTCATTCTCTGTTGTAAACAACTAGAGAGAGATGGAAGGTCCCCTTGCAGCTAAGATTGCATCAACCTTTCATTATTTACCTTATGTTTAGAGCTTATATTCAGCTCTCAGCTAATAAGTCAGCTTAGATGTTAAAGGCCTTTAAATATTACAGTAAGATCTGGTATCCTTGAAGACTTTGCTACTAAATACAAACATCACTATTCCCCAAACTCTGTGGGGACTCCTGTCCCAACAAAGTTGCTGTCTAGAAAGCCAATACTTTTCTTGTGCTCCTCCTAAGCACAATTTAAATAGGTGAAGGTCATTTCTAGAGGAATTATAAGGGAACACCTTGAAATGGAAATGTATTTGTTGCAGCAAGAAAAACATTTGTGTCACCATAATAAGCACAAGATTTAGGACACACAGAAAGTCCTTTTAAAATCTACGCTTATTACAGATCATACTTAAATTAGGGGACAGATTTTTCAAAAGGGTAATATATTTTTTTTAATACTTTGAACCTCAGCTAATTCTGCAATAATGCTCTCCTTTTTTCTAGGGGGTGTGTTTGGAGAAGTGCTACAATGATCCCAGTCCTTTGAAAAGCTGGTAACAAGTAAATATAAGTAATTGTGTGTTTGTATCCCAGATGGATTCTTGAAAAGAGTTCCCACAAAGCAAAAATCAGTAACTCACTTTGTATAATATACGCTGCCTCATATGCAACTAATGAAAAACAACTTTGTGTGACATGCTTAGCATGCACTGCACTAAAAATAAATATATAGCATGCTGTAAATGCTTTTCCAAACTTGCCATTTCTGCAATCACACATAATTCTTTTAAAGACACATTGAAGAGACCAGTTTTATCTGCTATATCCCCACTTGGAGCACTGAATAGCAACCTAAATTAGCAGAAAAGTGAAAGAAAGTTTGACTTGGGAAATCCTGTGTATGGCAAAGACACTGTACCTGGTAGTACATCTGTACAGGGAGATGCCATGGGAGGCAACTCCCATGTTCAGATACAGGAAGAACTGCAGTTGCAATTCTGAACTTTCCCACTCCAGCCTCCCTCTGCCTCATAGAGGGCTCAGAGCTCTCCCACGTTTCTCATATGGCCAGCAGTCTGGAACATCACTGTTAAATTACTTAAATTTAACTGTTAAAAAAGTTAAATTACTTTTTTTTTTTTTTTTTAATGTTGACGAAAATGTTACATCACAGCACAAACTTCTAAAAGTTATTCCTACAGACGAACAGTATTTTCAAACTACAGACAAACTACGAAGAGCAAGACCTTTTAACTATAAAGACTTGGCCAGTAAAAGCCTGAACAGGAAACAACTTAGCATGTTAGAGTTTGCAGGGAAAACACAGGGAGAAACTCCACAACAGGAAAGAGTTTGAAGAAAGAAAAAAAAAAAATCACAGCAGAAACAGCAGGGACACGTGTGATCACCACTACTGCCAGATGACAGACAGTGTTCAATGTTTTCAGGAATAGGAAAGCTCAGAGTGCTGCACAAGTAGGAAAGCTTGCTTTAAATAAAACACTTGTACCTTCCAGCAGTACTCAGAATGCTGCTCTTCTTAGAATGCCTCCTTCATTGCACTTAGATGGCAATACTCGCTGAGTTTTAATTAACTTAAAAGCTTCATGACATCAGGAAATGCAAAGGTGTGCTCACATAAAAAGACAGACTCTAAAGCCAGTGGATTTGCAGCTCTTTATGAAAAGGGGGCAAAGTGTTTGCCAATCTTGGATTTGCTCTGAAAGCAAATCTTACAACTGCAGGCACCATTTCCACTGAAGTGCCACCGAGTGAAGGTGCATAAATATTCTCCTACATTGAGGCATTTTAGAAACTCTGTCACCTAATTCTGTACAAAGCAAGCCTAATGACATGACATAACAAAAGGCAGCCTCAGGAACTTAATCTTTGCCAAGGTCCCACTAATTGCTCCTGTAAAACTCCATTGCCAGGTGTTTCAAAGACATCCTCAGGTGCAGAACCACTTACTTGCCAAAGAAAGGATTATCTTAAATGCTTATATCACCGAGGAAAAAGTTATTTCCTACTTTTTTGCTAAGTGCTTTTCCCCCAGATTCTTACAGCATGAAAAATGGTCTTGGTTTTGTACTCAGACCATGGTTATTTGTTAATACTTAGATATTATCTGTACAAAATTAGAACTGGAAATTAGGAATACTTGTCAGTCTTTGGATATTTTTATCAGAGTCCAGAATGAACAAAGTTTCCAGTGCTCTGCCCCTGTGTACCGAAATGCCACTGAGGTTAAAAGGAGTCCTGCACATGCAGGAAAATACAAGGTTGAAGTGCAGGGGTGAGGTACTGTGATTAATTCCCCATTTTGACATAACCTAATAATATTTATAGGTGTACAATCAAAAATTACACTGCCTTGTAAATATCCCTATTGCCTCCAGAGGACTTTAAAAGTAATGCATATATACAGGTTATATAAATTTGGCTTCTAAAATACTTAGAGATGGGCCTATGATCAGCAAGACCTACTTGAAAAGAGAACACAGTGATGAAAATAGAGAATTGTGGCTTGCTTGTGAAGCTTATAAGAAGATAACGTGGCAGAGGAAAAGGATCTCCATGGCCAGGAAGCTTTTCACAAGTTATATTCGATCCCAGGCTCCCCAGGAGGTGACAAAATATCAGGAGCTCTTTATTTTCTCTTACATAAGGGCCTGATGTGTCATGCAAAGAGTAACATTAAATGCCTTGCACCTCTTGTATTAAATGGAGTGAAAACTATTCCTCCTCCCCAAGCCCCTTCTCAAATTTTAGTACTTGACTCTACATCCTGTCTATAGGTAAATCTTTCAGTTATATCCATCAAGAATACAAAAGGCACAACAGGATTAAGAACCAAGTTCTTGGATCTGTCCTGTTCTCCTCAGCACAAGGTTTAGGGAAAACAGAGCAGAGTTGTATGTAAAATGCCTGATTTTTCTCCCCTGACAAGTGGCCATAGAAAAAAAGTCATTCCTGCTCAGCCAGTCATGCTCTATGACCTTTAACCATTCCTGCTTATTACTCTCCTCACAAAAATAAGCCAATACTGGCTTTTACTGCCACTGCTTTTGGCGGGCTGACATAGCCAGAGAGTCACGCTAGATTATTTTTTGGTTTATGTGTAACAATAAAGTTATTATAGAGTCTCAAAATGCAGCCTCCCTGCTGGTACTGAAGGACAAGCCAAACCCAAGTCAGCTGGATTCCCAAATGTTGGCTGAGAGCAATTGCTGCTTTAAATGACTGAACCACTCATACTAATCAAAAACTTGAAAATTTTCAAGTTCCCTCTTTTGGTTTTAAAGGGCAATTGGCAAGACAATGAATTCTTGTCCTTTTTTTTTTTTTTTCTGATTTTATTTTTAGCATGAGCAGCTATAGGAAACTCAGCAAGACATTTGCATTTCCAAAAGAGAAATGTCAGTTTTGCCAACCACAAGTTAATTAATCAAAAGTAAGGGCTTAAATCAGGATAGCTAAAAATAAGCTGTGCAACATTTTTTCTAAAAGTGTGTGTATTGAATCTTGCTGTTAGTTGTCTGGTTTTTAGGTCTTTAGGACATGCTGATTTCATGTATTCTTGCTATTCACTATTAACACAAGAATTAGGTACCATTCTGAAAAAAAAAAAAAAAACCAAACAACTAGATGCTCATGAGGATTTAAAACCAGTTTATATTCAGATTTCAGTAGCATTTAAAAAGGTGCCACTCAAATGACTCCTCTGCAAGTGCAAGTTCTCAACCCATGAATGACATCAGCACAAACCAAATCTCTTCTCAGCACTAAGAGACAAAGTGAAGCTGAAGATAAACAGTGTAATTCATCATAAGCTGACAGATTATCAAACATTTCCTTTTACCTGGTGTATTTGCTGATCACCAGACCCTTCTGCTGTTACACACCTGCAGAGCCTCAATTTATCTGCTGCAAGCCATAGGTTGCAGCAAAAAAATTCTAGGAACTAAAACTTTTCCTAAACAAGGTTGATACATAGGCTCAGTTTTTATCTATCTCAAAGATCATAACAATTTTAGACATTGTTTTTCACTGGTAACATGCACCTCCAGACACTTGGACTCATTAGAAATCAAAAGTCAGGCTTCCTCCCACAGAATCATAGAATCTAATCCTAGGTCTAGGAACAACTCTTAGCAAATGACAGGTTTGTTTTCAGTTCTAATCTTAGATTATAGAATACATAAAAAAAGATACAAATAGGAGGTATTCAATATAGATGCCCTGAATTCAGGAATCCTTCCCCTTCCTTTGCATATATTCAGAATATACCTTAGTAGTGTTGCTTTCTGTTTCAGATTAGCATTGACAGTCCTGCAAGGAACGTGATCAGGAATATTCAAGAGCCAACACAATCCTGCTTTGATGAAGTACAAGAGAATAATTTACATGAACATGGAAAAGAGATTCTTATCCACAATTTCTCGAATCACAGTACCAAAAACTGAAACACAGGCTTCAAACTAACTAATGGCAAGAATTAAACGGTAAATTAAAGAAATGGTTGAAAATTTAGGCAGGGTTCTTCTGGTATGCAAGTGTTTCAGATTTTAAGTAGATAGGAGAAATCAGGAAACAGATGAATATTATTACTGATCCCTTCAACTGTTCTGTTGATGTCAGAATTCATGAGGCACAGTCTTTCCCCTTCCTTCTAAAAATAACTAAAAGGTTGATTTTGGGAGGTTGGTTTCCTGTCCCCCAAGTCCATTCCACACATCACCCCCCACCCCAGCTGGAAAAAGAGAGGGTCCTTTTCCCAAAATAGATTTATTATTAACTGTAACAGATCTTTCTCTCTCTTGATTTTTCTTTTGTGTTATCAGATGCAAGGCAATAACACCATATTTCATCAGATCATATGATTCATAAAAAGGTAATTAATGGCAGCAGCAATAACAAATCACTGCTTTTATCATTTTCATTAACAGCACTCGAATGAGTTCAGGTACACTTTTCCACTGGCAGACAAAACTAAAAGGCTCACATTAATCATTCAAAGCTACTGTTGAAAAAGATGAAAAACTTGAAAATAGTTAAATTGGCAGAATTCTGTCTCTTCCCTTATTTATTTAAGAAGAACAAAATTTAGAAAAAAAAATCAAACAGGTGATTCTTCAAATATTAAATTTGGTAAGATTAAAATGCAGATTATTAAAACCATTATAGCAATTAACTGTATTCAACCCTAGAAACTGTTGACCTATGGAGGCACCCTAAAAAAACAACCATACTGAACAGATGGTCTGGGGGTTTACTGGGTTTTGTTTTGTTTTTAAAAGAGCTGACAATTATATAATTTTTTCTTTGTAAATACGAGCTGTGTTGGCCTACTTACTTGATAACGGTCTTGAAATTCATACTTTATTATTATCGCGCTGTTTACAGGAGTTTTACATCCACTCTTGGTATATAGACGGTAAGCACAGAATAAAAAAAATGCAGATTGCAGATCAGACCTATACAACAAAGTAAAAATCTTATTGTATTCAGAATCAATCACACCAAAACTGTAAGAATAGCACAGGATAATATTTGCAGTGCAGATGGGTGGTGAGAACATACAATGTCTCTTCGTTGTACAATGAACAGACTGAAGAGAATTAGCTGTGAGGAGGCTTTTCTCACAAGTTCTCTCAATCAGTTTTGTGCTTTCATTTTAACTCTAGATATTGCTACTTTTAAGTCCCAAAAAAATAAATGGCAGGCAGTCTCACCCTAAGTGTAGCAATCAACAGTTATACAGAATTCGGTACTGTAGACAACAGATTTAAATAAATTGTGAGCAGAGATGTTTATCACCAATTACAGGGCAGATGAGGATGTTTGGGAGCTTGCAACCTCAAAGGAAAGGGAAATGACTGCAGCATTGCCAAATATTACCAAATATACAGGACTGTTGCAATCACTGAACCCTTCAGAAACTGACGTTTGGTCTAATGTTCACTAAACAGAGGAAAAGAGCAATGCAAGAAGTCTTCCAAAAAGAACATTTTGCTGCACGTTCCAGTGAGCTGGAATCCATAGCTACAGATCAGAGCTGTTTCTTGGCAAAGGCTGCATCCTAACACAGGCTTACCTACAGTCCTCCTACAAAAAAAGCTTCACAGAGGTGGTAATCTGGTAACCTCTCTCAGCAGAATCACCCACTTAATAATTTGTCAGTAGCACAATCTTAAGATGCTTTGATATCAAAATAGTGAATTCCAAAAGCTACAACATTTTAGAAAACTGAAACTTCTAAAAATGCAGATTTAAAATGGCAGACCCAATTCAGGGTCTGATTAGAATACACAAATGATTCTTTTTTATTTTTTTGGAGATTAAAAAGAAAAAAGAAGCGGGTGAGGCAATGTAGAAAGAAAAAGAAACACAAGAGGAGCAAATTATATATTGGGGAAACTAATTATGCAGCTGAGCACTCTATTAGATGTTAGGTGTGCAGAACTGAATTCTCATGACACCAGAAACAAGATGCCAGCCTCTGCAGCCAAATTGTGCAATTGGTTCTTCAGAAAGGAATGTAAAAGAGCATCATATTATGGATTCCAGAGATGTCTTCCCACTGACTTTCATGCGTCTGCACGTCTCTCCAGGAACAGTGACACGGAATGGGACATCATGAAGTGCACTGCAGACAGTCAGCATTATGGACATACAGATTCTGTCTTGACTCAGCTACATAAACACTTCATAGTGCACAGTGCCCCTTGGGATATCTAAGGCTTCTCCTACGACTAGCAGGTCTGACCCTACCCATTCCCAGTTTGTAAGTGGATGCCAGAGATCCCAGAGCATCTCAGTAGGATTAGATGCCTGTGTTTCCACAACTCAAGCCAGATTTGTTCACTATTATCAGCAAAAGGTTTCACATTTATTAGACTTGGTCCATCACTGCCATCCTAAACCATTTACTGAAGAACAGTTTCACCTGTAGCTGTATTTTCTATCCAAAACTGCCATAGCAATTATATCACGTGTCCTGTACCTCAGATTTTGCTCAACTCAAATTATAATGCAACTATTTAGGGACTAAGAGAACAGCTCCTTACTGCGAGGACATGCACCTCACACAACTGGGAAATGGGATGGGTCTAGTCTGAGAAGTTTACCCAACCAGGGTTTTTTAACCATGGTAAAGCTCCACTGATGAGCTACAGCCCATCTTCACACCCACAGCTCTCCAGTGCTACTTCCTCTCTCTGAATTTCTGCATTAGGTGCACAAATCTGAGGATGAGGGGAAAATCCTGAGGCTTTACAGCACGAGGGCAGGAAACGGGGCTGCAGTTCCTCTTCCACAAACCCATCCCTGTTGTTACAGGACCCCATAGATCCACAGCCTGCACTTTTTCATGGAAAACAACTCAGAAGCAAAAACCTAAAACTCGTAGCAAAGACTTGATATGAGCATTGCCTTCCTGCCCAGCTGCAAAGAGCAGCAGCTTTGTGACGGTGCTAAGAGTGCTCTGCCAGGCTGGTGACAAGTCTCAAGGTACAATGTGACACCACAGCAGGAATACAGCATTTAATAAGCACTGAAACTGCCAAAAAAATCAGAGAAGACAGATTGTCACTGTGTTTGCTAAGCTCTGAAGGATCATGACATTCATCTAACGACATGTTACCTCTTTGTTGTCCCGGCTTGTCTGTCTCACTGCTCTCCCACTGCTAAGTCTAAACTTGCCCAGAACATCCATCATTAGGGCTGTTGCTACATACAGCAACAGCCAAGGCAAATAGTTTTTTCTCCCACATTCCTTATCTTCAAATAGTGATTCCAGTAATCACCTCAGAAACAGCAGGTGAGTAAATAAGAACAAGAATTCCCCCCTCCCCTCGCCTTGAAGAAGTGGCTACACAATTATTTCATGAAGATATTTCCTTACTTATCAATACATGATCTGCTTTGCTTTTGGTTAGGTAAAGAGAGTACAGGACTGTAATTTTATTTGCCTAAAAAAACACAGGGAAAGAACTCCCAAAAGTTCTAAAAGCAGTTTTCCAACACTTGAAATTATAAAGACTTATCATTCACAAGACACGACTCAGTCAGTTATTAATGAGTCATTCAATACCATGGCAGACTCCATCAATTCTCAACAGTAGTACTTAGCAATACTTTCCATTAATTACTCTCTACTAAAGAATACCTAATTATTTCTTAATATAATTCAGAAAGTCCACAATCAATGAAAAAATTCAAAAGGAAGAAATATTTAGTCTGTGAATCATTACCTATGTTCCTTCACTCAATTTTGTCTGTGGCTGACATAATCTTATAACAATGAAAGAGGATTTTATAACTAACATACGTAGTCTCATTTCAGTTCAGATACCAACACATAAATTACTTGTTTATTCCTCATTATCTTCTTTACTCTCTCTCCACTTTTCATTTTAGCTGTATGTTTGTACAGTTTCTGCTGATGGACACTCCACTCTTGTTTTCTAAAATATATTTGCCCTTATATATTTATGTCAGCAGTTCTACAAAATTCCTTCCTTTTTAATCTGACTACCCTTTCTTTTTACATTCATTACTGACTTTATTTTTTTTAAAACATATATAACACTCACACATTTCAGGATATTTTAGAGGGTTTGAAGTTTGTTTTAAGTAACGCAAGATTTTATGACACTGGTTCCAGATCAGCATCTATCACTTCCAACCCTTTTTGACAAGCTCATACTCTCTCAGGAGTAACCTTGATGCTACTTTAAAATGACTTCTCTCCACTCTAGCCATACTGAGCCTTCCAGAATGCTCTCCAGCACCACCAGAGACTCTTCATAATCAGCCCAGATAACACACCCAAAGCACCAGTAATATGCCAGCACACAAAGAAGCCCTCCCAGAAATGCTGCTCACAGACAACTTTGCTGCAGTCCCACCTAAACCACGGCAAGGTATAACTATGGCAGCTCCCTGCTGCTCAGAGGGAGAGCTGCCCACCCAGCCCACAAGTCAGTGACCCCTTGATCAACTCAGAGGTCTCCTCATAGGATTAGTTACAACACTGAAATGATGAATAGGACATTATCAAATATAATTCCAGAATACAAACACAGCAGCTGACCAAATTTCAATAGGGAGACTCTACCTGAAAACCAATGCAGTTTCTGAGCCAACAGACATGGTATTTGTTCTCAGACAACTGCAAGAGAAGTGCAGGGAGCAGAACAAAGGACTCTATGTAACCTTGGTTGATCTCACCAAGGCTTTCGATACTGTGAGTAGAAAAGGTCTGTGGCAGATTTTGGAACGTTTAGGATGTCCCCCCAAGTTCCTCAAAATGATCATCTCGCTTCATGAGGACCAGCGCAGTCAAGTCAGATATGGTGATGCACTTTCTGAGCCCTTTCCAATAGCCAATGGTGTGAAGCAAGGCTGCGTTCTCGCACCAACTTTATTCACAGTCTTCTTCAGCATGATGCTCCAAAGGGCCATGGCAGACCTCGATGATGAAAA